GTTTGAGGGCGGGGCCCGTGGGTGTCTAACGTCGCCTTCGGAAGCCCAGAGAAAAAAGCTTTCTGAGCCAAGCTGCGGCCTTTGTTTGGCCAGTGCAGGAGTGATGCCGACGCAGTAGGGCTTTGAAGGCGGGGGTGGCTGCTTAACGTGGCATGCTGGGGCTTTCGTTTGCACTGCAACCCGTTCCACCCTCCGGTGTCCCTGGCGCCGCCCCGCTTAGGCAAGGGCTAAGCAGGGGTCGGCGGATATAAACATGTTCGCACCAATACACCGATACTCTGAGTGTATTCACCGATCCGCACCGATTGCCATATCGTTGTGGTGGCGTAGAACGCAAGGCGTCCAAAACCAAAAAGCGTTACAGCTTACTGGCGTAATCACATTTAAGGACACCGTTCGCAAGCAGGCTCCCTTGTCCTAATTTTGTAATTGTGCGCAATTGCATCTCGATTCCTTGGGTTCAAAAATGCCTTTGTCAGGAGGATTAAAGGTGGGATCTTGTCCCACATCCTTCCCAGATGCCCGTGACTGCGGAGTAAGGATTGGGCCACATGGTTCGCCTTGGCTGGCAAAAATGGCTCTGGTTTGGAGAACACCACAGTCTTGGCGATTCGAGGCAAGCGATTTCAAGTCATGCAACGCTAATGTTATGGTTTGCACGTAAACTGCTTGGTCGCAGTTTGAAAAGGCAAGGCGGAGATTGATACTTTGTTTCAAGGACAAGTTGTAGTGAGGATCATGTCACAGGTGACTGACTGGATGCTTGGAGCTGTCCCACTAGGCACAAAGACGAAGCTGGAGATGATTTTTGATTTGGATTTGTGGTCCTTGCAGATTCTGGGCATCCAGCATTTGGCTGGGCGTTTCATCATTGGACTTGGATTTCCATACAATGCCTTCTGGAACTCGCCGGCTTTAGGCGGCGTGCAAGTGGGCATAAAGTCTATTTGTTTGGCCATCAAACAGCATGATTTCCAGGAAGTGATCTCCAATGCTTTGGCCAGAGCAAATTTGTTTGCAACTATCACAAAGACGTAGTTCCGGCAGCGGTGCATGATTTCACAACAAAAATTTCTAGTCTGGTGTATGGGTGGCACTCCATGTTGCCAGGCAAGCTGTGGTTTCGATCAAAGCGTCGAAGATATCAATCTGCGCTGGACTACTTGAAGCTTCTGAAAGAGGAAGAGCCACATCGAAAGATCTATGCCTCTTAGCAAGAGACAGAGAGAGAAACAAAAGAATGAAAAGAACGGGTGGATGGTTGGCGCTCTTTTGCTCATTGCTGCAGATGCATGTTAGCCAACACTCTTGAAGAATGTTCCTTTTACTGAAAAAAAACACATATATCATATAGCCATATTGCACTCACTGTTGGGATCACTTTGGAAATGCCAGGCACACAGATGCACGATGACATGTTATGAATTACTGAACATAGCTTCCAGATGTTGCGTAGTTTTACTACAAGCGTTTTGAGACTCTCAAGCGGTTGTATGATCATAAAGATCATGGGCATGTTGTTACAAAAGATGGTTTGGGTATTGTTGCTGTTTCAGATGGTAAGTTTTCAAGGGAATCCATTGCACAAGAACACTTGGCTGATGCAGGTAAGTGGACATTCGCTTGGAGGCGGCCTAGCACATTTGGCTCCATGGCAGAAACAGTCCAGTTGACCGCATACACAAGGGTTGAGTCAATTTCGTGTACCTCAGCTTGCTTGCAGTTGAGTGGGTGCGCGCAGGCTGATGTGCCCTGGTCCCAACATGTTTCACTCAGCCGATAAAGAACAATATCAACCGTGCCGCCTTCGGCCAAGGTTGCTTCTGAACTTCAGCTGCCTGCAGTCACATTATCAGCTCCAGGGGTAGTGGAAACTGCGGGCCTTTTGGGCCTGGAACCCCTAGAGCTGCAGGCCTGCTTTTCAAAGCCTGCGATGATTGTCAAATAATCGAGTAATTATCCAATTGTATGTGTGCAGTTCCTGGGACTGTTTGTGACCCTGGAGGACCTTACGGTGAATGTGATTCCTGATAGCCACTTGGAAAAGTCCAAGTCAAAGGAATCGTTGACTGATCATCATGATCATCAAATGCCAAGAAATCTTCCCGACAAATCGTTGAAGTGTCTTAGATTAAAGCAACCTCCTGAAGCACTCCAGTCTATGCGATTCCTGTTTGCTGGTTGTGGCTGTGGTCGCGCAAAGCGATCCAAGGAGATCCTATTCCTGCAAATAGTGGCAAGCAAGGTGGTGTGACCGTTCCAATCCCATGCATTGTTGGAGAGGTGGGAACTGGCAGTGCAATCATCATGTGAACAAGATATGTTTTGTTCATTTCTGAACTTGACATGTTGTTGTCATGTGCACTGTTTTCCTCCACAGAAGAGACAGTCAATTTCCATTCATAAGCCTTCTTTCCAATCGGACCCAGGCACCGGAGTGCCACAGGGTATTTAACACCATTTGCTACATGGCTGCAACAATTTGTAATTTGTTGTGCCATGCAGCACGCTGGAGCTGTCTGAGAAGCTTGGCATTTACAGACCAACATATACTTGCAACATGGGTTGGCAATACGACACACACACACACCAATCCATCTACTTGCAGGCATGCTGCTGAAGCAATGTGGAGATCCAATCCAACGCAATATACCATGCAACTTCTGCCCGATGGAGGCGCTTTGATATTGCTGTCATTGTTCATCAGGAAAATGCAATGTTCAAGAACCGAAACCAATATTGTAATTATTTGCGGCTTTGATATACAGGCCGATCATCATCATTCTTGCGAGCAGAAAAACATATTAATATAATATGGGAAGTAATTAGGTTTTGAAGCGACTATGATCTAAATAATGGTTAAGGTGTTAAGGTTTATTGAAAGTGTTGGAACGTAATAGAAAGATGTTTTTGAACAACCGATTGAAAATCGTGGTTTGTCATGTAGCGATCGTAGAGTGGCGGCTCAAAATCCTTCTTGCTAGAGGAGGGATCCAGCTGGCGCCGCCATGGATGAAGACATGGCTCTGGTCTGCAGCCTGAGTGGCCTTAGCGAGCAGCAGACCAGAGCATTGGTGGAGGCAAGGTGGTCGGTGACCCGATTGGCGACCTTGCAGGATGCACCCCGCGAGACACTTGAGGCCTTGGTCTGGAAGGCCCAGGAGCTAGATGACTCCTTCGACATCGACATGGATGTGCTGGATGATTTAGTGAGGAGAGCCGGAGCACGTGCTGAAAACCGGCATCTCTGGGATGCGAAGCGGGGTGCACAAGAGTTGATGGACGCCCATGTGGCACATCAAAGAGAGACCCGTCGTAAGACCTTCGACGAGGTTGTTTAGGCCGATACAGTGGCCAGAGTGGAAATGGTGGGCACTGCAAAGCGTGCCAGGTGGCCGACTTGCCTTGGGAAGAAGCTTCACATTGCCGGGACGGACCTGGCCTTGCGAGAGTTGGCCAAACGCAAAGAGCGAGATCGGTGGGTTGCGGAGTTGAGGACCATCGTCAAGGCCGCCAAGTTGCCGGTGGCAGTGCGCTCGGATGATGACGCGCTCATGGCAGGAGGCCGAACACTCTGAGGAAGCACGTCAAGGCCTGGCAAAAGGCGGCAAGATGGTTCAGATGCACCTATAATGTGGCTTGGCCCGAGAAGCCGCCGCATTTCGCTGAGTTCCTCGAAGCCATGGCGCACGAGCCGTACTCGAGGACTTTCCCCGAGTCCATCTACAAGACTCTCATGTTTTTGGAGCATGCGGGCGAAGTCCCTGAGGTGAACCAGATGTGCAGGACAGCTGCTGTGAAGAACGCCTTGGAGGCTGCAATCGATGGAGACCAAGCCATCGAGACAGGCTTTGTTGATCCCGGCGGCCGTGATCGTGGCCTTGGAGTGACTACGACGGGCAAGAGCAACTATGCCAAGATCTATGCATGGTTTCGCTTGGTGAAGCTATGGTCGGGAATGCGCTTCGATGACACCAAGGGGACGCCCAATAGGTCGATGGACGCGATCAACAAGAGGATTGTATTGCTCCCCTTCTATGTGAGCAAGCCTGCATGGCTGAAGAAGGAGAACTGGTTGAGCGAGGGCTGGAAGCTTTGGAATGCAATGGGGGCCGAGGCCGGCATTCTGACAAGGGACTTCATGTTGCCTTGGCCGAACGAGAACATGTCCGGCTTTGCAAGAAAGGTCGTAGACTACCCCATTGCATCAGCCTTGTCTCAGGCACTCTTTGGAGAGCTGCTGACGAATAGTGAGGGGCAATGGCAACAGCTGTTGGCACCAGGTGTTGGTTTGTTGTGGACGGAGCGCAGCGAGCGTGCGACCATCAGGACCTGGGCACAGGCTGCACGGATCCCTGAGGACGTGCGCAAGATGATAGGTTGTTGGAGGCCGTCAGCAGATGAGTCCTACGAGCGCAACCTGAGGTGTCAGAAGATTGCCGCGCACTGTGTGAAGGAGAACTGGGGACACAGGTGAAGTTGATGTCCTTCATGCCTGGCGATGATGTTGGCAGGCCCTAAGGCTTTGGTCGACGTGTTCAGCGCGAACGAAGCTGGACAGCCAGAGCGAGCTGAAGCTGGAGAAGAAGGCCAAGAAAGGTCAGACGCGCTGGCAGGACCTTTGGTGATCGAGGCAGGGCGGGGCGTCGTTCGTGGTTGCGAGTTCCCTCCACTGTGTTCTAAGCGATCGAATGAATCGAATGTGAGAGATGGGGTGGTGCAGGCCTCATCTAAGGCTAAAGTGGGGGGAAGTCTAGAAGAGGCCATGGTAGTCACTATAGAGCTCCCGAGAAAAACGAACTCGGGGGCGAATAGAAGGTAGGCTGTGGCCACTCTAGCTGCATGTTGACAAAGCAGCGTGCAGAAAAGTTCCTGCTGAAGGGTCCGAGTGAGCGTAGTGACAACTTTGAAATAGCAATGAAAATAGAAATAACAATATTTATTTTCATTTTTATAAATTAGTAATTATATTGCTATGTGAAGTATTAAAGTTGAAATTGGATTTCGGTTTATATTTATGTCATTTTTGTCTTTACTTAAATCTTTACGAAAGTTAGTTGATAGGCTAGGTTGGAATTGTTGATGGGCGAACGAAATGAATATAGAGATGGTGAGGATTTATTATTTAATTGATGAATTTGAATAGGACATAAATATATTTAATAGGAAAGAATGAAAGAAAAAGGTGGTTCGAAAGGTAATGAATATAGATTATATTATATATATTTTGATATGATATAATTGATAAATTGAGGTTGGTTGCGTAGGGATATTTAAGTTTTTTAGGTTTTTTATTTTATGTAGATGGATAATTTGTTGATATATATGTTTTTATATTAAATAGGATTGTTATATTTATTTAAAAAGGAAATTTATTTTGGAATTATTATAAATTGGGACGAAAAAATCGTGTTTGGCATTTTTTTATTGAATTAATTTTATAAATAAATTTATGGGGAATATTATTTTGAATTTTTGCGACGTTAGGCTTTGGTATGGGATTTTCTTAAAATTATTGAAAAGGTGATTTTTGAGGCATAAATGATATATATAATCTTTATGTATTATCCTAAAATAATATATTCGTATAAAATAAATTGATTATAAATTGTATATTATTAATTATCGGAAATATATATAGATAAATGACTAATAGATTAATTTGAAAAAAAAAATATGATTTTGAATAGGAGAATTATTATGGTAAGGTATTGGTCTACAATTTGGTGATATTAACGAAGGTCGTTCGTCAATATGATGGTTAACTATAATATTCGGTCGAAAGGTTTGTGCTATTGAGAGTTTTTTTAAGTTGTTTACGAAAGTTTTTTTCGAGTTCGCGATTTTTTTTGACGAAAGAATTTATTATATTATATATTGTATATATAAAAAGACGATATTATTATTAATGATTTATAATAATATTGCGTGAAATATAACAATAACAATTATTATTATTATTGCTATTTACTATTTCTATTGCGTGCTATTCTTCCTCTTGTTGTTGCCATTGATTATTATGTTGTACGATATATTTTGGCGAAAGTTTTACGAAAGCATCGACGAATGAGAAGGTTTGTTTTGCGGACCCCTACCCAAGCTAATTAGCGATAGATCTAGCTAGATGAACGCAATAATCGTTGATAGCTCTTCTAGTTTATCTTCCACCAAATCTGGTGATACATCTAATGGTGGTGATTGAGAATTTTTGCTAATTGCCTTGTAATACCTTAACCTCGTCTACAATTCCAAAATGGTATTTGATGCAAATGCTTAGAGATTATTATATAAAATCGTTAAATTAAGACAATTCTAGAGGATATATTCCCCGCGCAAGTTAAATATGGAATTCGCGAAAGATTCGCGAATATTAATTCTTCTTTCGCGAAGAATGGCCTTCCAGAAAGAAGGAATTTTGATCAACCACCATGTAATGCCACATTTCTGCACATTTAGAGATTGATGATTTGTTGTCCTTTGCAGCCATGAGGTTGCGCAAAATTGCTGCCAAGAAGAAACGTCAGACAAAGATCCTATGCATATCTTCATCTTCTGATTCTTTAATTTCGAGTTCATCTTCAACGTCTGCAATTTCCAAATGAATGAAGGGCTTAAGAAAAGGAACCATCGGAACCGCGAAAGTATTTCGCGAAGCCTCTGGGGTTGCACGAAGCCTCGCGAAACCAACCTTCCCACAAATTCTGATTATGTGAAACCTCCAGCGTAGCAATATATAAGCATTTTACATTTAAAAAAAATACGGCTCAATTGTTGTTGCGGGGTCTTCGTGAATTTTAGTACTTACGGATATGGGACGGATAAATCGAAAATTAATATATCGAATGATTAACAGCTAAGATTAGTAGCTGAATGATTTTTATTAATCGAAAGATTAGTAACTAATTATATTTAGAAAAAGATTATAACTAATAAATATAATTTAAAATTAATCTAATTCATACTATATAGGATATAAATTCGCATCATGATTATTATCGGTTATTTAAGAAGATCCGGACATTGATAATGGTCTATATTGATTTTAATAAATAGACAATTTAAATATAGATAAATTAATTCGGAAAATTGTAATAATTTTATATTTATGATGAAAATTATAAAATAATAAATTTTATAAAATTATATATAGATAATTTATTTTACAAATTTAAAATAATGCTTAATTATATTATATATTTTAGAAATAAAATATTTTCTATCGTTATTTATCGGATAACATATTTTAAAATTATCGATTAAAATTCCACAATATTGAATATTATTAAAAATATATTATATTAAAAAATAGTAATTCCATAAATATATATTAAATACGTATATATATATAATAAATAATCGATTTAAATATTCTATATATAATGTATTTCTAGATATTTCTCAATGTCATTATATATATGTTTTTAATAAATATATTATGTAAATTTCAATATTTTGACATAAAATATATTTATTTTTTTGATTAAATATATGTATCAAAAATATTCCCGATATATTTTATTTCATCCGGATAATATTAAATATAATATATTCTAAATATTTTTAAAATTCCTATAATATATAGATCAAGAAAGCCTTGTATAGATTTGATTTTTCTCAAGAATGTTTCATAGTTATTAATATATAATCATAATTAATTAATAATTTTATATTGAAATCTTGCAAATTTAAAAAAGGAGAGGACGAAAGCCAGCGAAAGACCAATATGATAATGCAAGATTGGGAGGAAAAAATCACGGAATATTTATTGTTGTAATGCCTGTATTAAATATTCTATTT